CCTCAAGATGAGTGTTCTGTGCACATGATGCCCAGACCCAGCTTCCTTTTTGGAACAGCTGTACCCAAAAAAAGCTTCTTCATAGTATGAATATGCTCCTATGAAATTATTTTTCTGCGTGATCCATGGAAGTGAAGACACAGAGCAAGAGAGATGTTATTACCTATGGTAGATTATTCCCTCTTTGATCTGTATATATAGCTCTACCAAAGTTGAGTTTGAATTTCGCTGTTTCACGCTGGTTGAGAAGATTCACTCTATTTCTAAAGTGCATCAAATACTAGTGGATAAAACATTTTTATTTATTTTTTTTTACTACAACACACAGCACAGGAAGTGTTTTTCTTGAGTAAATAAAAAAGTGATGCCTTTACTGAATGATCTCCCTCAGGATTTGGTTGGAATATCATTCTTAGAGTATTATTTGTACCCAGAAGATAGTTTTCTGATTGTTGTCGTGCACCAAAAGGTCTTATGTTTGTAGGCCAGCTTCCCTTTGAATATGCATCCATTAAATTTTCTATTTAAATGGAGATTAGATAATATTGAATTCCAGTTGATCCAGCTTTGCAAACTCATGGAAGAACTAGCAGTCTCAAGGAGCAGACAAGCCAGAGTTACAGTGTGGGGGAAATCAGTTGGTAGAGTTCATAAGGCAGAGTACAAGGAGGCTGAGAGTTTCACAAAAACTCTGGAGATCTTCAGACAGCCCCCCTCATGTATTAAGGAGAACATCAATAGGCACGTGTGTGAGGACAGGACACAAAGCCAAAAGGAGAAAAAACAGAACAAAACAAAAAAACAAAGCACCTCTCCAAAAACATCCCCAACAAACAACAAAAACTCTTCTCTAAAAGTTGTACCTGGATCTAATAAAGAGCTAGGAATAATGTCTGTTCTTCCAAGCCAGGACTAAAACTATCATAATTCATAAAGCAGTGGGTAGACTACTAAGAAAGTCTGAAGGTCTTGCATCAAAGGTGGCAGAAAATCAGGCCTCAATTCAACTCTGCTGTTACTGTTCCTAAGATATCTTAAAAGCAAATTCAGAAGTATCGAACAATTCCCAAGGAACTTAACTCTGTTCCTTCTAAAACAAAACTCAAGATCATTTGTAATAATACCAAAATACACAACCCCAAACAATATATAATTCACAGTGTCTCACACTCAATTAAAAAAATAAAATCAGTAGGCTTGCAAAGAAACAGAGAAATATGGCCCATAATTAGGGTTAAAAAAAAACAATTGTATCAACCCAGAAATAATAGTGATGGCATTAGAAGACAAGAATATGAAGACAGCTAATTTAACCAGAAACATGAAAAAAATTTTAAGTATGTTAAAAGTTAAAATCCCCAATGGAAAGTAGGAATCAAGAGGAACATGCTCAGTGTGATAAAGGCCACATATGAAAAACTGTTAATATCCACTTAATGATAAAAGATGAAATGCTTCCCCTTAAGATCGGGAACAAGTTAAAGATATCCACTCTCATCATTTTTATGGATCATTGTGCTGGAGGTTCTAGCTGGTGCAGTAGAACAAGAAAAATACATGGAAGGCATGCAGATTGAAAGGGGAAAAATGCTTTATTTGCAGACAACATGATCATCTACGTCAAGAATACACTGAAATTTTTAAAAGTCTAAAACTTATAAGCAAGTTTACCAAGATTGAACAATTCAAGATTAATATGCAAAGATGAGTTGCATTACTATATACTAGCAATAAACAATAAAAAATTGAATTTAAAAAATACCACTATGATAATAGGATCAAAAACTTGAAGTATTTAGGGATGAAGTGATAAAATATGTGCAAGATACATACACTGACAAAGAAGGCATTCCTGAGAGTAAAGAATGCTTAAACAAGTAGAAAGCTAGGCCATGTTCAAGGGTCAGAAGACTCAACACTGTTAAGATATCAATTCTCCCCAAATTTATCTATAGATTCAACACAATCCATATCAAAAGCTCAGCGAGATTTTCTGTTGAAAATGACAAGCTGCTTCTAAAATTTACATGGAAACATAAAGAACTTATAATATCCAAAATAACTCTGAAAAAGAAAAACTAAGTTGGGCATATAACACTTCATGATTTTAAGAATAATTTAAAAAACATAGTTATCAAGACTGTGATATTGGCACCAAGACACATGAATTAATCAATGAAAGAAAACATATTTCAGAAACAAACAAGATTTCTTATATACAACACCAATAGTATGATCCACAAAAGAAAAAAATATATATATACATATACTTTTTGTCATATATATATGACAAATTGATTTCATCAAGATTAAAATTTTTACTCTTAAGATTAAAAAGTTAAAACACTCAGTTAAGAAAATAAATAGACATGCCACATGCTGAAATAAAATATTTGCAAATCATATATCTGGAATAGAATTTATATCCATAATATATAAAGAATTCTCACAACTCAATAATGGACAACAAACAACCCGTTTTTTTTTTAATAAAATGTGCAAAAGTTTTGAACAGACATTTAATCAAAACACATAGAGAGATAGCAAATAAGGACATGAAAAGTCATCAAGATCATTAGTTATTAGAAAAATGCAAATTTTCACCTAATGAGACACCTCTACAAGCCTATTAGAGTAGATAAATTAAAGACTTACCATTCCAATTTTTGGTAGGGATGTAGAGCAACTGGAATGCTCATACACTGCTGGTGGGAATGTAAAATGGCATAATCTTTTTGAAAACAGTTTGACAATTTCGGAAAAAAATCAAGATTAAACCTGACATATGACCAAACTGGTCCACTTCTAGATTCATGCCTAGGAGAAATGAAAGTACACATGGTCCCCAACTTAAGATGGTTGGACTTACAACCTTTTGACTTTATGATGGTGTGAAAGCAATCCACATTCAGTAGAAATCACTGTTTGAATTTTGAATTTCAGCCTTTTTCCAGGCTAGTGATATGTACTATAATACTGCCTCATAATGCTGAGTGGCAGCGGCCAGCCAAAGCTCCCGGTCAGCCAGGAGGTCAGGAGGGTAAACAACTGATGCTGCACAATGTACTGTGTTGCCAGTGTTTTTTGGATATTGGGCTTTGTGTTTTTGCATTTTATCATGTTTACAAAACACCCATCTATGTCTCCTGCTTCAGTAAGAAGAAGAGGAAGGCGATTACTCTTCAGATGAAACTCAAAATAATCGCCCAACTGTAGGCTAATGTGAGTGTTTTACACATGTTTAAAGTACGCTAGGCTAAGCTATGATATTTGGTAGGTTAGATGTATTAAATGCATTTTTGACTTATGGTGCTTTCAATTTACAATGAGGTTATTGGGACATAACCCCATCATAAGCCGAAAGTCAGCTGCATAAATAAGCAAAGACCTGTACACATATTCTAGCAGTCTGATTTGTAACAGCTAACTAGGAAAAAAACCTAATTGCATTAAGAAACAACAGATTAAAAAATTGTATATGTTTATACAATGGAATGTCACCCAACAATAAAAAGGAATAAAATATTGATATACGCAACAATGTCTGTGAATATGAAAATAATTTAAAAGAGTACATAGTAGATGATTCCACTTGTAGAAAATTACAAAATGCAACCTGATCTATGGTGATAGAACATCAGCAGTTCTATCCCAGGAAGGTAGCAGGACAGGGAAGTTACAAAGGGAGGAATTTTAGTGAGGAGGAAAGAAACTTTTGAGGATGATAAATAGTTTCTTATCAGGATTATGGTGATGCTTTCCCTTACATCAAAATTTTTCAAATTTTATACTTTATATATATGGAGTTTACTGTATACCAATTATATCCCAGTAAAACAATAATAATAAAAAACTATTAATTGGTGGTTTCTCTTAGCTAGGTCTGGGTGTTCATCTTCTTAAGGTACTAGGACTCTGTAAAACACCAGGAGGAATAGAGGGGAAGAACTGAAAAATGAAATCTTAAGTTGTGGTGGTAATAAAATTTTAACTTGAGAACTGAAAACAACAGACGGTAAATAGGCTACGCTCACATACGAAAATTGTTTATGAATACCGTGGTAGAGATTAGGAAAACACTATGGCTCTCCTAAGAGTTTTATATTTCTGCCCAAGGCCCTCATGAAACCTCTAGAGGAGATGTGAGTAAAATAAATCTAGTGAGAGTAATAAATGAAATGGTGTCTCACTGTTCTTTCCAGCTGCGTGATTCTTACTGTCCATTCTCATTGAATCATTGGAAACTGCTGCACATTGAACAGAGATGAAGTCATGTTTATCTGATAGGAATCCGAAGCAGAAAATCATAAAGGAATGAAATGGATATACTTAACAGCACTTAAAAAAGAGCTGATCGCCTCATTACTATATTTTTAGGGCAGTCTCCATCTCTAAACTATAATTACAGGCTAAGGGATACTTGAAATCTCAGTTTTGAATGAAATAATTTTTGTTCTTTGTTTTTATTTGAGCAAATGGAAAGTTGACATTTTAAAACAAAATTCCTCAGCAATGGTGAGCAAGGTTTTTTTTTAATCAACTTTTACTATTGGTATTGGTAGATATGGTGAGCCAATTGTTGATTTGTCTCAAAATATCCCAAGGTTGTATAAAGTTTTGGAGAAAGAGATACATAATAAAAGATTAAAAACCTGGGACTAGAAGTCTTCAAATAAATAATTTGTTGTCATTTGGCTTTACCAAAGACAAGACAAGAGAGAATAGACCTAAGTGAAATTACATAATGAAGAATGTATGTTATATACAAAGGACAACTTCCTGGTCCTCAGGATTATTATCTTATGAAATGTACTCCTGAGGCATGGATAGTTGGCATAGAATCATATTTGTCTGAACATTTTCAATGGAGTACATTCATAAGGTTTGTGCAGAGGATTATACCTCCTCCATTGATAATGTGAAAGTCAGTCAAAATGTGAAGAAAAAAAATCCATTCAATTAATAGTTCATTTTGTGGATTTTTTTTTCTTTTCTTTAAGGGCAAGATTGTAAAGATGATATTAAGAACAAGAGTTTCAAGGTATGTATATATGTATTTATTTCTATTGATTCACTCTAGAATGTAATGAACCTTTGAAAGCTATACATTCAGAATTGTATTTACCTCAAGAAAGTTCTTACATCATATCTTTGATTAGTTTTTTTTTAATTGTGTCCTTTCCTTAGTAACATAATAGACCACATCTTTCTTCTCCTTTTCCGTTCTCTTTTCAGTGTTTCTTTGATCATTTTTATTTTTTATAACATTTTCCTTTGCATCCTGGAAGAAATCTGTCTGTATTATTCCCATTATTCAGTTTTTATCATTTATTCAAGTATTTTCAAAGAAGATTTTGAACTCTGTCATTGGGTTTTTAGATTTTTATTTTATTCCTAAATTTAAAAACATTTATTAAATACTTTTAAAGTTAAAAAGTGATACATGCTTAGTGCAACAAATACAACAATGCTGTACAAAAAATTTATTTATCTATCTATTTATCTATATTCCACCTCTAGATGTAAACAACACTAAAGCTCTTACTCATATAAACAGAAACAAGATATGTACAAAAATATGTAAGTCTATTTATAAGTAGATATGTAACTTTTATTTTCAAATTGCAATAGGTATAATTTACATATTCATGTACATATTCATATGAGAGCAGCCTTGTGCTCCTTTTTTAACCTTTATTTTTTTTAAATGTTAAATTGAGAAAACTTACAAGAATAACACATTGAAAGTTCATATACCCTTCACCTGGACTATAAATTGTTAATATTATTATTATTTTGTGAGCCAAATGAAGTAACTGAAAGGTATCATACTCTTTCACCTCTAAAACATAGAACAAGGAGGGAAATTAAAAGAGCATATGGAAAACTACATTATTGTTATTTTTGTGTTAGATCAGAATTTACTGAAACAAATACAATTATTAAATTCAACAAATTTAACATTGATGAAATATGACTTAATATAATCCATATTCATTTTTGACAAATGTCCACATGGATAATTTATAGTTTTGTGTTTTTGGTTTTTTTGTGTGTGTGATTTTTTTTTTTTCCTTTTCTGATTTAGGACCCAATATAGGACCATAAATTGCAGGATTTTTTTATTTTTATTTTATGTCTTTTAAGTCTTCCTTCCTTTATCAGGAACAGTTTCTTTTTCTTTCTTGACTTGATGTTTTTAGGAAACGAGGCCAAATGTTTTGGAAAATGTACCTCAGTTTCTGCTTGTTTGATTATTTTATCAGGATTAGACTCAGGTCAAGCAATTTGTCAGGAATACCCCAAAAGTGACATTGTGTCCGTCTCACAGCGTCATTATCACCCTCATTTCGTCTCACTGTTGGTCAGGAAGATATTGATTGTTTGAGTAACATGGCGTCTACCAAATTGCAACACTATAAAGACACTATTTTCCTTTTTAATTAAGTTTAACCTATGGGGAAATACTTTGAGCATTTGTAAGTGCCCTTTTAACCCCGGTGGTTTTTATATCCATTGTCTGAATCAATTTTTACTATGGAAATAGTTTTCTTTTAATCTTTTCTGTGCTGTTTACCCTTCCATGAACTTCTGAACCAAGCCTTCCTAAGACTAAAACCCCTAGTCTCTTGCAAAACCTCTTCACCTTCCCTTTGATTCCTTCAGATCTCATATGTGGTCTCAATATTTCCCCCTTTGCTCTCTCTAGGGGTGATTTCTTATCTGTATACCCACACTGCTCAGTGGCGGCTGCAGTCTCCTCTTCTCCACTCAGCTATTTTGTTCTGAAATGAGCTCCAGAGCTGACACTGGATTTGAGATGTGCATTTTATCACTTGCATGTAAACTAAATTTGGCAGTATTTTGTTTCTTAGTCATTTGTAGGTCTGAGGCCTGGATGGTTTTCTTTATTATCTGGAGGAGGATGTATGCAAATATTCCAAATGAGGTAACTGTCATTTTCCCACCAGAACTGGGGAGTTCCTTTTGTGTACACTATAAAATAACCAAGGATAATTTAAAATGTCTTACATGAGATATCTTAGCTGAAGACATGGAATACCTCCTGAGGGTGAATGAATTTGAAAATATTTTCCCAGGGAGAGAGGTGAGGAGAGAGAGAGAAAAAAAGGGTGGGGTGAACGAGTCACACACATAGACGTAAATTAGGGACAAATAAAAACAGAAAGTTTGAGATAATTTTAAAGAGAAAGAGAGTCTGAGAGATAAAGCAAGAGAAAAACTGAGGAAAACAGAGAAAGAGAGAAACAGAAACAAAATGGTTAAGACAGATACAGAAAAGTTAGAGGGCATAAAACAGAGCATGTGGAAGAAATATATTACTATTATTATAATTTCTGTTAGATTATAATTTACTGAATATCTGACTATTTTAGCTACTTAATTTGGCAAAACAAAAACAAAAACAAACAAAAAAACACATTATTACAAACAACAGTTGCTTCTATAGGTCCCACATGAATTTCCTATTTTTAGAAGCCATCTTAACACTGCAGATCTTTATTTGATAAATTGTATAAAGATCCAGAATTTAAAATTGTTGGTGAGTATAAGTGTACAAAAGAAAAAAAAATTACATGAGATAGTCTACATTATTACCACATTGCCAGAAATTTGGACTAGACAGGAAAAAAAGAATAAATTTTTAGTTTGAGTTCAAGGTGTTTCCCAATTGCTATATAAAACTAAAATTTCTGTTTTTAACCACATAGAGTTTTAGGGGCTTCTCATTCAGGCTTCACTGATCTTTACTCACCCTACACTTCCATACTTAAGGAATTTTTTCTGTGTATATTAAACTTAATGTTTTATCCAGTGCACAGAATCTGACTTATTTAAATAGTTCTATGACATAAAAATATTAAGAGTGTAGGAGTCGATGCTTTTCTTTTAAAATCTCTTGCAATAAATGAGCTGTGGCAATCAAGTTTCCGAATTCTGTTAAGCATAAAATGTAAAGTTTGACTATTTTAACCTAGACAATACATCTAGTTTTTTTTTTTAATTTTTACAATAGTGAGATAGTATCAAAATGGCCCAGTATAACAGTTCATTTAATTTGCCATGTGAAAAACACATTTAATATGTCTGATGAAAAGCAGCTCTATTAAACTGAATGGCCTTTCTCCTATTTTCAATTGCCTTAAACCCTTACAATGAATTTATAAAAATATCCCCATGCTACTGAATTGCTAGTACATTAAGTGAACATTTCATTTACCACTCTACAGATAAATATACACATAAACCACATTTTATTTAAGACACTTAGCTGGAGTGTGAAACATGGTTAAATGAGAAATATTTAATAACCCAATTTCAAAAGGTCAGCTTTCTATTTAATTCCTCAGAATACATAAGTTCTTGACATTGCCACTATTTAATGAAAACTTTATTGAATACTATGAGTAAATTAATGACTGGCCTTGTTACTATATCACATTAAAACATCAATTGTCTCTCATGCAAAACCCTGAAATTAGAGTCTATATAATGTTAAAAAGTTCGATAGCTCTGTCCTTCAAAGATTGTAATCCCTGTTAAAATAATCTTTTGCCTGGCATCTCTGTTTTTAGTCTCTTCTTAGTCCAAACCATTCTCCACATTTCTGTAAGTTAAGTCATTAATCAGATCACTTTAATGATTAAAGTCTGAAACAAACAAACAAACAAACAAACAAACAAGATTAACACCCAGGGACTAGCCTGATGCTCACAGTGAGACCATATATTTCTCCAATTGGACAGAAGCAATTTTAGAGAGTGTAAACATCAGACAAGGTCACTCTGGGACCATCATAAAGTAACGTAGAACAGAAAGCGATATAAAACAAGGTCATTGCACAAGCCACAAAAACCCACAATCTCTGTCCCAGCTGAAACAAGTGACGACTGCTTCTTTAATAATGACAGCTTTGTGTTTGCTCTAGTGTACTTTCATTATGATAGGTTCATTGAGATATCCAATCATAGAATTGCTCCCTCTTTCTGACAGCACCTAATCCAGCGTGAACTTCTACTTCCATAAACCCTCAAAATTGCCTAACAAAAGACCAACCCTATTACAGGTTTTCCCTAACATCTCTTAGTGAGAGGACCATGGTTCTCCATGGTAAGTACCTCACCCCACCCCCGCTGCAACAATAAACCTAGTTTGTCAATTACAGTTGTATTATTGGTGGCATTTGGCTGGAGGACACTGACACCCCTTCAATGATTGTTGTCATTTGCCTAAGTGACTCAATCAAGTCCTTGATGTATGACTTGCAAGATCCTTCATAAATTGATCTCCTCCTACTGGACAAGCTTATTTGCAGCTATATTCCTCCACAGGCAACCTCCTCTGCCTATCAACTTTCCCGTTCTGCAAATACTCCATGTTCAATATTGATAATAACTAAACAACAAGAAGGAATAAGGATTTTGGAAGAGAAAATGGAGGTAAAGAGGATAAATAGGAATCCAGATTTTCCATTAAGCCTTACTTGAAAGAAGAGAAGGAGATTGGGACTGAACGCATCATGGCCTCAGCATTATTTGTTTCATAACATAATCTGAAGAGACTCAACTCACAGAGTCTTACCATACTTGTCTATTCCTTACATAAACTCTCATGAGCTAAGGCTTTATGTTTCCGGTCTCTTTTTTATTCTCCCTGAGATTACTGAGCATCCTGATAACCAGTGTTTTGAACTCTGCATCTGGTAGGTTGTTTGTCTCCATTTTGTTTAGTTCTTTCTCTGGAGACTTGTTCTGTTCTTTTATTTTGGACATGTTTCATTGTCTCCCCATTTTGGCTGCCTCTGTGTGTTTGTTTCTATGTATTAGGTAGGGCTGCTATGGCTCCCAGTCTAATAGTGTCCTTATGTAGTCGGTGTCCCATGGAGCCCAGTGGTGCAGTCTTCCTGGTCACCAGAGCCAGGTGCTCTAGGTGTGTCCCTTGTGTGGGTTGTATATAACCTCCTATGTAGTTGAGCCTTGGTTGTTATTTGCACATCAATGGGGAGGACTGACCCTCAGGC